ACCAGTATATCACACATTTCTAGCTACTGGGTTTCCGATCTCATTACCGCGCGAAATTCTGCAAAAACGCATGATCGTACGGGCCAGCCCAGTGCGCATCGCCAATGATTATCCTTTTTTGCACATATCCAAATGCGAAAACGCATATTTCGACGAACCCGGTGTGTATGTACGTATGTATGTATGTGTGTGTCTGTCCGGGTATTTCAACTAGGCATCCAAGCAAGCTCAGGCGCCAAAATTTTGCCAGCGGTTTCTCCGGCCAACCGCCACTGCAGGACCGCGGTACCAACCCTCACGCATGTCTGGACTCTGCGTGAAAGTTTGTCGGGAAAAGCGCTAACTCGGGAACCGAAAAAACCGAGAAGCTGAAGTTTTCAGATTATGTTTTCCATCCACGTAGAACCCAAAAGTTGTAATGTCAGCCAAGGGACGTGTGTAGTTCCCACATACGGTCACCTGAAAATTTTTCTTGGGGGGAAGAATCGCTAGCTTAGGAACCAGAAAAGTTGAAACTTTGAGGGGATTTTTTTAGTTAACACACGACTTAAAAACTTCGAGTTGAGCCCCAGAAGTGCGTCGTTTTCATGTACGGCCCAGTGGAAATTTCCGGCGAGAAAGTCGCTAGCTTGGGAACTGGAAAAGCTGGACGGTTGAAATTATAAGGGAATGTTCTCAGCTCACGTACAAGATTTCAGATTCAACCTCCAGGTGTGTTAGCCTCTCACATACAGACTCGCGAAAATTCTTAGCGGTAAAACTGCTAACTCCAGAAGTAGAAAAGCTAGAAAGCTGAAAATTTGAAGGGATGCTCCTGTCCAAGTGCCATGTGTTTGCGCAATTAATTTCTTAAACTTCGAGGACCAGTACGCCACAAATTCTAGTTACTGGTTTGTTCTTTAGACCGAGGACAAATTACTACCAAGTAAGCTACGAATCTAAAAGTTTGCAACGATATTCCATATGCAAATGTGGTCTTAAATCAGCTTGGAGGGCAAATTCCCCGTAAGAAAGCATGAAAAATACCCAATTTTATGGCCAAGTCAAAAGCGAATGCGTTTTGCAGATTTCATAACCCTCTTCCAATTTTCTTCAAATTTGA